GGTCTGGCTTTTGTAAAGGTAGATGCTGGGGATGTAGGGATGTAGGCTCAGGTTGTCATGCCTGCTTGACAAACACTTTATTCACCAAGCCGTCTCCCTGGTTCTGGTAATTTCTTCACTCCCCACCCTTCCCCTTGTCTTCCTTTTCATCCTTTCCTCCCTCCCTCCCTCCCTCCCTCCCTCCCTCCCTCCCTCCCTCCTTCCCTCTTTCCTCTTCTTTTTTTTTCCTTTTCCCCCTCACCCTCTCTTTAAATTTATTTTTCTAATAGACAGGATCTCATGGAGTCCATGCTAGCTTCTAACTCACTGTGTAGTCAAAGATGATTCTGAATTCCTGATCCTCCCGCTTCCACCTACCAAGTATTAGGATTACAAGTATGCCCTGCTGTGTTTGGCTTTAAAACAGATTAATGTCTTTATTTTCCATTGGTTTTTTTTATTTTTGAGATAAAGGCTTAGGCTGGTCTGGAGCTCAAGATTGTCCTAGTAGCTGTCTGGGATGTTAGCTGTTAGCCTTACATTCACGGTCTTACTTGAACACTCTTTTTGTAACCACCTGGAAGACAGAAGCCTCCAAAGGATACCACTTCTCTCTCTCTCTTTTTTGATATTTTATTTATGTGTATTGGTGTTTTGCCTTCATGTATGTCAGTGTGATGGTGTCCAATCGATGGAATGGGAGTTACAGACAGTTGTGAGTTGCCATGTGGGTGCTAGGAATTGAACCCAGGTCTTCAGGAAGAGCAGCCAGTACCACCCTGGCATTTTTTTCTTTTTTAGGAATGGTTTGCATTAATCCCAATCTAAATCTGCTGTTTCATCAGGTAAAGTAATAACTCTTAAGTGATTCTCCTCTGGTCATATATGCTGGGTAGTTTTATGTGAACTTGACACAAGCTAAAGTCATCACCAAGGAGGGACCCTCAATTGAGAAAAGACCTTCATAAGAATTAGGTTGTAGGAGCTGGAGAGATGGCTCAGAGGTTAAGAGCACTGCCTGCTCTTCCAAAGGTCCTGAGTTCAATTCCCAGCAACCACATTGTGGCTCACAACCATCTGTAATGGGGACTGGTGCCCTCTTCTGGGCTGCAGGCATACACACAGACAGAATATTGTATACATAATAAATATCTTTTAAAAAAGAATTAGGTTGTAGACAAGCTTGTAGGGCATTTTCTTAATTAGTGATTGATGGGGGAGGGTCCAGCCCATTGTGGGCAGTGCCACCCCTGAACTGGTGAACAGTTCTGGGTTCTATAAGAAAGCAGGCTGAGCCAGCCATGTGGACCAAGTCAGTAAGCAGCACCCCTCCGTGGCCTCTTTTATTTACCTTGCCCTGCTTGAGTTCCTGTCCTGACTTCCCTTGGTCATGAACTGTGATGTGGGAAGTGTAAGCCAAATAAACCTTTGTCTCTCCAACTTGCTTTTTAGTTATCATTTTTTTTTTTGTTACAGCAATTAAAACCCCAACTAAAACAAACTGGTGGCAGCATAGTGGGGTATTGCTGGGACAGACCTGACCGTGTGGGGAGAATTGTAGAAAGACTTTGGAGTTTTGGAAAAAGCCATTGTGTGTTGAGAGCTCAGGGAGCTGTTGTGTAGGAGCCTGGAAGATACAAGTGTTGAGAGCAGTGTAGACGAAGGCTGGCTTGTGACATTTCAGAGGGAAGCAAAGTCTCTACTGCCATTTTGTGAAGAATCTGTGGTTCTGGTTTCTTTGGGAACCGAATTCTTCTGGGGCTGAAGAATCACCAGCTGTGCTTTGCAAGAACCGTTAAAGTGAAACCTTTGTTTTGTTGGGGTACTCGGGGCTTGAAACACCCGATTCTATGTTACCCTCTCGGTACAGTTCACACGCCACAGTACTGTGTACGCGAGTTGGACAAATGCCAGGAGATTAAAAGAACACACAAGAGACCTGGGTCATTCTAAAGGAGAGCAGCCAAAGGCCATTTATTCAACCTTGGGGAAATTCTTTTATACCTAGCTGCTGCACAAGGAATTACCCCCAGGCAGGTGGGAAATTGCCACACCCAAGATGGAGTAAACAATGCCCTACAGCTAATCACCATGCGGGGCAGAGGGAGCACAAAAACAAACAGAATGTTTTAGCTGGCTGACCAGAAACTGTCCTCAAGTAACCCCAGGAGCAGGGGTAGACCCTGGCCCTACAGGGGCTTGTTAGCTATAGCTGAGAAATTAGCCATGATTAAGAGACTGGAGTCTCTTAAAAGGTCTGCATGATGGCACAAGCCTTTACTCTCAGTACTCCAGAAGCAGAGTCAGGTGAGTACAAGGCCAGCCTGATCTACAGAGTGAGTTCCAGGGCAGGCTCCAAAGCTATACAGAGAAACACTGTCTTGAAAAACCAACAAAACAAACCATCAACAACAACCCCCCCCCCCAAAAAAACAAATAAATGTAGGTGAGATCACCAAGACGATTTATAATATAGCTCTTCCTTCCAGAGTTAGGAGTTAGAGTTGGCTCAGCAGATAAGAGCACTTACTGCTTTTGCAGAGGAACAGGACTCGGTTCCCAGCATCCCCATGGCAGTTCACAACTGTCTGTAACTCCAGTTCCAGGGAGTCTGGCCCTCCCTTCTGACTTCTGAGGGCACCAGGCTTGTACAAGGTGCACATGCATACATGAGGGAAAAACACGGTAATAATTGGAGAGGGGGCTACGTTCCTGGCACCCGGCTGCTGGCACAGCTAGCTTTACCCGAAATAATTACATGGAGACTGTATTCTTTTAAACACTGCTTGGCCCATTAGTTTTAACCTCTTATTGGCTAGCTCTTACATATTGATCTAACCCATTTCTAATAATCTGTGAAGCCCACAAGGTGGCTTACCAGGGAAGATCTTAATCTGCATCTGTGTTGGGTGGAAGAATCATGGCGACTGCCTGACTTGGCTTCTTTCTCCCAGCATTCTGTTCTGTCTACTTCATCTACCTAATTTTCTGTCCAATCAAAGGCCAAGCAGTTTCTTTATTAATTAACCAATAAAAGCAACAGATAGACAAATGACCCACCTCTATCAAAACACTGATACATAAAATAATATCTAAAAAAATTAAAAATAGATGAGTGAGTGAAAACTTTCACAATATAGTAAACGTCAAGGAGCTGACATTTAAGTGGTTTTTCTTCCCAAGTCATAAAGACTTATTTATTCATCCATTAATCCCACGAATTATGTGGCTGGTGATAGGGAGGCGAAGAACATACTTCCTAGCCTCAAAGTATTCAGTGCAATAACAGACACAGACTGAGATCATTTTAATGTGGTTTACAAAAACAGAAAAGCGCAGTATACTTTATGAGACTATTTGTATAAACTGACAACATGACCACTTCACAGTATGGTTAAGGGGAGGGTTTTATTGTAGATGAGAGAGAGAGAGAGAGCACTGCCAGAAGCATCTGGAAGAACCCGGAGCGGAAGGAGAAAGAAATAGACTGAACAAGGTCAGAGAGGGGAGAACAACAGGGATAGAGATTAGAGAAAGCCTGGTAAGAATAGCAGGGTTATGAAGAGAATAGCTGGGCAAGGAGACCCTGGGCGCTGGAGGGATTGAGGGTAGGGGAGAGGTGAGAAGGGCTAGGTTGCTAGCATGGACTCTGATATTGGGTAAGATGTACCCATGATACCAGCATGCGCCCTGCTATGCTGATAGGCACCACAGGTAGCCATATGTCTTTTCTGCCAGAGGTGAGGAAAATGACCTTTTTTGGTAGAGGGGAACTGACTTTATAAGTTCCTTAGGAATGTTGTCTGTTTGATTTTTTTTTTTTTTTTATTGAACTGCCAGAAATCCTCCTATAGTCCAGGTTAAGCTCATTTCTGGATATTTGGACTGCCTTTTGGAGTTTGGGGAATTGGAGTTTCCTTTGGACCTGACAGTCTCTCCCCTCACTCCCCCCATTCCCACCCCCCACTCACCACCTCCAGATGAGACAGGGTGTCTCTGTGTATTTTTGACTGTCCTGGAACTTGCTCCGTAGACCAGGCTGGCCTTGAACTCACAGAGATCCCCTTGCTTCTGCCTCCTGAGCGCTGTGAAAGGAGCGCACCACCACCACCCTGACAGTATCAAACGAGGGCATCCAACCTAGTTAATGGCGAGTAGGAAATGGAAGAAACTGTCAGAGAAATCCAATTGGAAGAGGCTACATTTAAATAGATTTAGTTTATTTTTTTTTTTTGTTTGATAATTGTATGTGAGGCAGGGTCTCATATAGATAGCCTAGGCTAGCCTCAAACTCATTACACAGTTCAGCCATCCTTGACATTTGGAGCCCCTTACATTCGCCTCTCAAGCGCAGCTGAGATTGTAGGCATGTATCACCACAGTCAGCAGAATATAGCTTCTTAATCATTGATTTTACCACTTTTATCTAAACAAACCCGGGCTGCCTTTTTTGCGCCATTCACAACACATTCAGCTTCCTGTCTGGAGCCATTCTTAACTGCTTGCAGCAGCCAAGAACTCTCATCCACGGGAAGGTAACCTAATTCACCCAGATGGAACCAGCCCAGTTGTGTCCTTCTGGGCTCTGTGAACTCTCACCTTGGCCAGGCAGCGGGTATGCATCACTGTCCCTTTATTTTGTGGGTGAGTCCCTGGGGCTCACCGACAGTGTCACTGGAGCCATCAAAAGGGGTATTCTCCAGAGAGAGCTCACCCCGAGGGTGAGAATAAATGGAGAGATGAGACCACCCCCGAGTCCCGGCCCTACAGAGCGAGGAGCAGACAGGCCAGGCCGTGGCCCACGTGGGCACCGTGGGCCAAGTTGGCACAGCCCACCGCCAGAGCAACTAACCACCGCCCAGGCTCAGCGCAGGGCTCTCCGCAGGGTCTCAGCAGGCAGGGCGGGGCGGGAGCGCGGCAGGAAGGAGGCGTGGCCAACACAGCGCGGCCCATCCCAAAGGCGCTCCGCCCCCTGGAGTGACGTCACCGGCCTGCCAGCGGGCGCCATTTTGAAAGTGGAGTCGCCTGCCCCTGCCGCCGCGGCCGCCGTCGCTGCCGTAGCCGCCGCCGCCACCGCCGCTACTGCTGCCGCCAACACCGCTGGAGAAGAAGCACGAGAGGGGACGCCCCCGAGTGAAAGCCACCATCCTGCCGGCCTCTCCACCCGGGCCGCTTCCCTTCCGCCCCGGTCCCCGTCCCCTCCCCCCTCAGGTGCCATCCGCCTCCATCCGCGCCCTCGATCCCCCCATCCCCAGGTGAGGGGGCTGAGCCCCGGTCGCGGAGACCCAAAGGAGCCCGGCAGGGTCATCATTTGCAGCGCGACATGGCAGGTAAAGAAGAAACGGCCCTCGGCCGGCTGACAGGGTGCCGCTTCCTCTGCGCGCTCTCCGTCACCCCCTAGCGACCGTGGCGGCCGGGGCCTTGGCCTGGGGCGCTGGCCGAGTGCGGGGCGGGCGGGCGGGCCTGGCACTGGGCTGGGACGGTGGGGCCTGGGGGCTGGGCCCGGGGCCTGGCACCGCACGAAGCCGGGCACGGGTGTGGTGGGGGTGGGAGCCTGCGTGGATGGGGCGGGTGCCGGCGTGCAGATGGATCCCCTCTGCACCCTGCTCCCTCCGCTCCTCCGCGCACACCCGTTCCCCTCGTCCCCGTCTGCTGCGTGCCTTCCCGTAGAAACACATTCCGGCGCTTTGCAAGTTAAAATACAATGGAGGCATACGGGCCCCCTCCCTCTACTCACCCCCCCCTCCCCATTCTGGATAGGTGAGGTTTTGAGGGTGTAAGCCTGAATTTCGTGGCGATTGTGCTCCCTTCCATGACTTCCTCGCTGCCACTCCCGGGTGCTAGGCCTTTAATAGAAGTTGTAAGGATTGGGGTGGGGTGGGGGCAAACAGGTAATTTAAACTTTGCATTTTGCACGGGATCGTTTGTGCAGACGTCCTTTTCCCAGAAGGGTTGCTCGGAGTTAAGATAGTTGTGGAGTTCAGTGATATAAATAGCCAAAGAGAGAGGGATTTCATAAAAGCTTGCAGGGGGGGAAAAGCATGGAGACTACCCGGTTGGGAATAATTTTGCAAGGACTAGGTAAAGGAAAAGTGAGGGTTAATGGCCTTTGAGAGGCAGTTATCTTTGTGCGTTTTTGCCTTTAAGTCCTTCACCTCTAGAGTAATTCTAGATTGAGATTCAGTTTTTTTTTTCTAGAAATTCAGAAGTATTCCCCCCCCCCCCATTTCATTTCCTCTTCAGTCATGGGCAGTCTCTGAGATTAAACCAATCTTCCCTGTCTTTTCAATACTTATTTAGATATTAGGATTTTTAAAGAAGTTATGTTGGGCTGATTTACAGTTTGCCATACAAACAAGTTGCCCTTTGACCTTGCTGAACAATGAAATGAAAATTGGAACTGTTTTGTAGGAGATGACAAATGGCCAAAGTTGGTCTTTCCGGGCCCCTTTGGGTTGTCTGCTAGGTGAAGGGAGGCTGAAGCAGCATCCTCTGACCAGCTCTTCCTGAGCCTTCATTGCCACCCCTTTTCCTGTGTGTGCAGCCAGTGATTTGCTCCTAATGAATGTAAAGAAATGGGTGTTGTGTTTGCTGTGTGTATGCTGCGGTGGTAGGGTTCACATGAATCATTCTTCCTCTCAGGCAGTAATGTTCCCGAAGTTTTCTCTTCGTTCTATTTTTCATGGTAGCTTAGCCTTATAACTCTTCTGTAGGCCTTTTGTACATTTAGAAGGAGATCTAACTTTTGGTGTTTAGTTTTTTCTGGTGGGTCTTACTTAAAAGGCTCTGACTATCTTAAAGGGGCAGAGAAAGTGAGGTTTTGAATATCTGTACGATGATGTTTGATAGACCGTCTTTGAATATTTCATACCTGCCGTGTTGTTTTTAATGCTCTACCGACTATTGGAGCCTAATTTGGTTCCAAGTCCATGGGTTCCTTGGTGGCTGTGTATGTGGGGAGTGTCATGCTAGTTTCAGATGCCATCTCTGCGCTTATGAGAGTAAACAACAGAACTCTGCTTTAATTGCTGTGTTTTCTTCTTCAGGAGCTGGAGGAGGGAATGACATTCAGTGGTGTTTTTCTCAGGTGAAAGGAGCCGTAGATGATGATGTAGCAGAAGGTAAGAAAGTTTAACAATGACGGCTGAGTACTGACGTGGGCATTCTGGGTACTGAAGGAACACGAACTAAACTGAGCTTGTTACACTGGAAGAATGTTTTCTGTTTGTTGTCTAAGAGGTGGGACAACACTTTTAAAAAATCACCTTTTTGGAAAAGTCTTTATATCTTTTTATGTCGTTTTATTTATTTTTTTCATTGAGTTAATGAAGTAAATGGTGTGCAGTAAGTGCTCTGAGGTTCGTGTAATTAAGGTTTCCCTGCTACATAAATTGTACGTGCAGATAACTGGACTTTCATGTTTGTGTTGTGTCTCTAGATAATTAAGTAGAAATAGATGCCAACAACACTTAAAAATATTCCGACAGCATCCTTTATTCTGTGGGGAGACTGAAGTTCTTTTGAACTTAAATACTTTGGGATTGTAGTGTTGGTTACGTGTTTGTTGAGAAAATGCTGGCTCAAATTATTCACTTTATTATCTTGCAGGGATTGTATGTGTGGTTAAGATCGATAAGATAGAATAGAAAATCACTTTTCTAGGGGACTTTTTGAGATAGAAGCTTACTAATTTATTTCAGAATTCTGAAGTTTTGGAGTGTGAAGTTCTTGATCTCGTTTTGAGATGATCTTTTGTGGTAGAGACAGATAATCTGCAAAAGAATGGTAACATTATTTCTTCAGAAATATTTATGAAGTTTGTAGGATTGGAGTGTGTGTGTGTGTGTGTGTGTGTGTGAGAGAGAGAGAGAGAGAGAGAGAGAGAGAGAGAGAGAGAGAGAGTGTCAGTGTGACAGTATCCCTGAGTGGCCTTGAACTCAAAGATCTCTGCCCAGTTGTGGACTTTTTCTAAACAGAAGTCAGAAAAGTTAAAGCTGGACTTCTGGTTTTAGAAGGTTGTCTATGAAAATGTATGACCGTTTCTCTAGATTGTACCTTTCTCTGGTGAGGTTCCTTCCTGCTATCCACTGAGTGCTTTTGTGAGGATTTTTTTTTTTAGGTGGTGGTAGGGCGAAGACTGTTGACTAACCAGATGTTTGTGTGGTGACATTTGTCATTGGTGTGTGTTCACTGCTGTGAATCCTATAGAAAGTCACTGGCGTACTTATATTTTACGGAGTCTCCCTCCTTTGTTTTTTTGGTGGTTCCTCATTCCTTTATCACATGAGAAACCAGAAACTTGGAAAAATTAAAGAATTTGATAGAGTGACTCAGTGATGGTCACAACAATCAGTGTGTGCTGGTTTTTCTTTTGAGCTCATTTAAAGAAATAAATCCCATGTTCAAGGGAGGAGTCGAGTATTACTGATTTTGTAACTCCATTACCTGTTGAGGAGTAGGCACTCAGATATTGGATCTTCAATTCTGTGTTGTGTAATACTCACCACATTATGAAAGTGCTTCATACTTGGAAAACAGTTCTTGGTTGCATTGTTTATTCCCCTTATCAAAGGTCTCTTGAATACTGAGAGCTGGGGTGTGTGCTGTCTACCCTTAAGAAACTCAGTTTGCTTGTTAATCATGGGCAGAAGACCTCACTTAATCAAGCACAAATTGATTTTCTAAGCTGAACATCAGTCACCTAACTGAAACAAGTGATAGTTTGTGATTGTACACACAATATATATGACAGATCAGTTCTAATTCTTGTTTGTTAGTACTTAATAGCTTCACTTTACTCTTGATTCATTAAGTAGCCTTCTAAGTTACATACTGTAATGACAACATATTCTTAATATCTTAAAATGTCAAGACTTGGAGTGTGTGCTTCGGGAAGAACGGGACTTGTTTTAGTACCATGTCTTAACAAGTACATAAATAGCATTGTTTCAAGTTATTCTGCTTTGATTTGCAGATTCTTGGAAACTGTAGTTTGTATGTCTTTGTCTACTATGTTTATCAAAAGGAAGTTTTGCTTTTCTAACATAGAATATGATTATTATACAGGGCCCATAGATCTAGATTATAATCTTTAAATGACTGCCTCTAGCTCCACCTTTAGATAGCCTCTTTCTGCTAACAATACCTTCTAATGTCTTAGCTGTCAGTGGCTTATGATGAGTGACTGTCCCCTTGCAGCCAGGCATCTGCCAGGGCATGCTGATTTACCTGTAATGCTTTCATCTTCTATACCTGCCTTCACCTTTGTCCAGTTTTGATCCATTCTGGGTGGATTGTAGTTTTGTTTTGTTGAGACGAGGTTTCTCCATAGTCCTGGTTGTCCTTGAACTATCTCCATGGACCAGGCTGTCTTTGTACACAGATCCACTTGCTTTTTCCTCCCCAGAGCTGGGATTAAAGTTGTGGCTACCATGCCCAAGAGTCCTACTCTTAAATAAGTCTCATTTTTTTCATGTGTTTTACTTTTAAGTTAATTTGAAACACAATCCTTTGTCATTTTTCGTGGATCATTGAATCCATTGGATTAGAAACTAAATTTCGGCTGGTAAAATGTGATATTTCTTCAGTATGGTTTCTCTTAAGCTAAGGACACCACCCGAACCGATACTGTATAAGCAAACCCTATGCATTGTACTTGTGATTGTTTTTGCTGTTCTGGGGATTGAACCAGAGCCTTGTGCATGTTAGGCAATTGCTGTACCACTCAGGTACATCCCCAGCTTGCTGATCCCATACTGCTGTGTCTGACATCCTCCTACAATTGTTCTCTTATCAGAATCCTACTCATCCTCAGTCACACCTATAACCTTTTAATTACCTCTTGCGGAAATCATTTTTTAAAATCTCTTTTATAGCATTTTGTTAAGTAAATACTATATTTAGTGCCTTGAACCTCTACTGTTACACTGTAAGCCTAAATCTAGACTGATCTTTGCTTCTCTGCAAATGTCCTATTTAAACTGCTCTGCTTAGAACAATGCCTGACACACAGTAGGAATTGACTATCGAGTAAAAGTCAGTGTCACTTTTGCTAGTTTTTTTTTTAAATTTATTATGTATATAGTGTTGTGGGCACCAGATTTCATTATAGATGGGTGTGAGCCATCATGTAGTTGCTGGGAATTGAACTGAGGACCTCTGGAACAGTCAGTTCTCTTAACCTCTGAGCCACCTCTCCAGCCCTGTTTGTTTTTCGAAACAGGGTTTCTTTGTGTAGCTTTGGTGCCTGTCCTGGAACTTGCTCTGTAGCCCAGGCTGGCCTCAAACTCACAGACCTGCCTGTCTCTGCCTTCAAGTGCTGGGATTAAAGGTATGCACCACCACTGCCCGGCTACTTTTGCTAGGTTTTTGAGAGGAAAAGGTGTAGAATGTAGGATAGTTGGGGGTGAACATTTTATTTACTTGGCAGCCTTTCTGTTTCTGGTTTACAGCTTTGTAATACAGAGAAGTCAGGAGTCTGTTGCTCTGGATCAGGGCCCTTCTGAGTTCCTGTACTTAGACATTAAAAAGACAAGGACTGGATAAAGTGATTTCTGCTGTTTTCTTTCTGCTCTTGTTAGTTTCCAACAATGTCTGGAAAGAGGTAGCCCCATATTATTACTACTGATAAGTCTTAAGATGCTGACTCGATAGGGACCTTAATAAGTTCTAACTGGACTGACTTCTCGAGGCCCAGGAATTTTAGTACAGAACAGAGCTTGACACTCATCCACAGGCTCTTGCTATCTTTGACCCATTTAGGTCTTCAAGGCAGGACACCCATGCTACAGTACTGTTCTGTCTACATCGGTCTGCAGGCATGCAGCATATGTGTTTTACCTTTGGAATAGCTCCTTGTTTGAGAGGCAGTTGAGGCACTAAACTCTGTTCTGGTTTTCTTGTGCTGTGGATTTCTGGTAGTCTTTAAGGTCACTATAACACTACTGCACTTTATTTAAGTCTTTGATTTTCCTTGACCTGTAACACCACTGTGGTGTTGGGCACATCAATTCACCTGTGCTTCTTCCTCCATTATAAAAGACTTACTGTAAACCCTGCCTTAGTGCTATTTTGATATGTAAATGAGCTTATACCTATAAAACAGAACACTATCTTGGCCTGTAAGAATAGGCAGACCTGTTTTTGAGATGTGATCTCACGTGATCTGGAACTTGCTGGCCTTGAACTTACAGAGATCCACCTCCACCTACTGGCCTGTTTGTTTGTTTTGAGACTGGGGTCTCTCTCTCTTTTTTTTTTAAATTTATTTATTTATTTATTTATTTATTTATTTATTTATTTATTAAAGATTACTGCCTCCCATTTCCCTCCCCCTTCCCCAATCAAGTCCCCCTCCCTCGTCAGCCCGAAGGGCAATCAGGGTTCCCTGCCCCGTGGGAAGTCCAAGGACCACCCACCTCCATCCAGGTCTAGTAAGGTGAGCATCCAAACTGCCTAGGCTCCCACAACTTTAAATTTTTCTGTGGTGTATTTGAGACTGGGGTCTCTTATGACTTTAAATTCTTCTGTGGTGTAGTCTATGCAGGTGTGGAAGTCAAGATCTTCCTGCCTCAGTGCTGGTATTGCTGGTATTACAGGTGTCCATGAACGTGCCCTTCTTGAGAGCCTTATAAAGATTTATTGTTACTTCAGTGCTTGTACAAGTAAGGCATAATTAGAGTGTGAGGAAACTGGGGGATTGTCTAACTATTTGATTATGTGTGTGACTCTTTTGCCTGCACATACGTCTTTGTACTATGTGTGTGCTTTTAGTCAATGAAGGCCAGACAATCTAGACTTGTAGTTGTAGACAGTTGTGAGTTGCTATATGAGTGCTGGTAATTGGACTGGGGTTCTCTGGAAGAGTAGCTAGTGTTCGTATCTCCTGAGCCATCTCTATAGCTCATAGAGTATGTATAGTCTTTAAAATAGCTATTAAAGCTTTGTTAGCCAAAGTGAAGGCATGGTGAATAGTATGTGTGGAACCTCAAACTCTATACAGCTGTGGATGGTCTTAAACTTCTAATCCTCTTGCTTCCACCTCCTGAATGCTGGGATTATAGGCCAGTGCCACCATGCTTGGGCTTTTTAAAAAGTCTTTAGTGTAATAAGTTTATGACAT